CAACTCCTGGGCTTAAGTGATTCTCTTGCCTCAGCCTCCCGAGTAGCTGGGACTACAGGCACCTACCATAACGCCTGGCTATTTTTTTTGTTGCAGTTTGGCCGGGGCCAGGTTTGAACTCGACACCCTCGGTATATGGGGCTGGCGCCCTACCCACTGAGCCATAGGTACTGCCCCATACTCCCATTTTTTTAATAGAATTGTCTTTTTCCTATTGAGTTCCTTGCATACCCTGCATATTAAACACTTACCAAATGAATAGTTTGCAAATATTTTCTCCCATTCTGTAGGCTGTCTCTTCATGTTATTGATTGTTTTGAGGTTTTTTCAATGAAATCCTTGCCCAGACCAATGTCCTGCAGCCCCTCAACCAAGTAGCTGGGATTACAGGCATGGACCAGAACGCCCAGCTAGTTTTCTATTTTTAGTGAAGATGGAGTCTCACTCTTGCTTAGGCTGGTCCTGAACTCTTGACCTCAAGTAATCCTCTCACCACCTCCTCCCAAAATGCTAGGATTATAGGCCAGAGAATGCTATATTAAAAGCTCATGTTCTACCAATTGTAAAGCTAAGAAATTAATGAAAAGATTTTCTGAAAAGATTAAGACTTTAAAAAAATTTAACTGAAACTTAAAGCTCTAATTCTACAATTAAATTCTCACATGTTCAGTATCTACCTGCACATGTTTTCTATAAAATATTGTTATCAGTCAGGAATGCTGGCATCTGCTTGTAGTTCCAGCTATTTGGGAGGCTGAGACAGGAGGAGCACTTGAGCTCAGGTTAAGTTCAGCCTGGGAATTGCAATGAGACCCAGTATTATACCTTTTTTCTTTTTTAATCTTATTTTAAAGGCAAGGCTAGGTGCAGTGGCTTACTCCTATAATCCTAGTACTCTGGGAGGCTGAGGTGGGTAGAATGCCTGAGCTTAGGAGTTTGAGACCAGCCTGAGCAAGAGCCAGACCCCACCTCTAAAAAACATCCAGGTGTTGTGGAGGGCATCTGTAGTCCCAGTTACTTGGGAGGCTGAGGCAAGAGAATTGCTTGAGCCCAAGAGTTGGAGGTTGCTGTGAGCTACTATGGCCGTCCACTGGAGGTGACAAAGTAAGACTCTCAAAACAAACAATCAAAAAAGAAGGCAAACAGGCATATATATGGCAAAAGAACAAGAGGGTACTTCAACATTTTTTGACGTATTAGGTTAAATTAAGGCCCATGTTTTAGAGATTCGTTTTTATAGAGCTACTTGGATATTTTCATAAAAATAAACCCCTAAGCTCCTCTCAAGGTAAGGAAAGGGAAGAAATTTATTTACTCAAAGTTTCATCTAATTTCATGGGGAAACAAAGAAGAGTATTTCTTTGTTCTTTTCCTGAGATTTAGGAAAGCCTGGGAGGCTGAGGCAAAAAAATACATATAAGAATGAAAATTCATGGCTCGGTGTCCGTAACTCAGTGGTTAGGGTGCTGGCCATATTCACTGGGGCTGGCAGGTTTGAACCTGGCCAGGGCTTACTAAACAACAATGACAACTACAACAAAAAAATAGCTGGGCCTTGTGGTGGACGCCTGTAGTCCCAGCTACTTGGGAGGCTGAGACAAGAGAATCGCATAAGCCAGAGGTCCTCAAACTATGGCCCGCAGGCCACATGTGGCCTGCCAGGTGTTTTTGCTGTCGCTGCCTGTCCTGCTTAGCAGCCGACTCCCAAGGCCCGCAGTCCGGCCCTCCAATGGTCTGAGGGACAGTGCAGTGGCCCCCTGTTTAAAAAGTTTGAGGACCCCTGGCTTAAGCCCAGGAGTTTGAGGTTGCTATGAGCTGTTACGTCACAGCACTCTACTGAGGAGGACATAGTGAGACTCTGTCTCAAAAAAAAAAACAAAAAAGGAGCGGCACCTGTGGCTCAAGGACTAGGGCACCAGCCGCATATACTGGAGGTGGTGGGTTCAAACCCGGCCCTGGCCAAAACAAACAAAAACAAAACCCCCAAAGAATGGACATTTATCAATTAAGACAATTTAATTAAAATGTTGACTTACCTGTATTCCAGCATGGCTACAGAGATAAAAATCAAATTCATATGGGTGTGTAATGTCTGTATCAACTGTTGTTCCAGCTGGGATATTGCCACTTCTTCCAACCTAGATTTGTCAAAGTTTAAACAAAGAAGAGAAGGGTAAAAAGTTTATCTGAAACACTTTAAAAATATATATAAATATATTGGCTGATCCCATGTTTCATTACTTGCAGCTTTAAAAATATTACTTATGTAGTCATTAAGAGAAGACCTTGGGCAGCGCCTGTGGTTCAGTGAGTAAGGTGCTGGCCCCATATAATGAGGGTGGCGGGTTCAACCCTGGCCCCAGCCAAACTGCAACAAAAAAATAGCTGGGCGTTGTGGCAAGCACCTGTAGTCCCAGCTACTCACAGGGCTGAGACAAGAGAATTGCCTAAGCCCAAGAGCTGGAGGTTGCTGTGAACTGTGATGCCACGGCATGCTACCAAGGGCAATAAAGTGAGAATGTCTCTAAAAAAAAAAAAAAAAA